AAATGTCTAGTCGCTTCCTCTAGGAATGAAAAGCTGAACACCACTTGCAATCACTCCACTACTGCCTCAGGACCCAAAGGATGGTCATCTGGCTCACTTCTCTGCCTCAAATAGCAGTCAAAATCACAAGCCTTGGGAGAAGGAGGTGGTCAGAGCAAGCAGACAGGAATTAACGTCTCCCAAGAGATGATATTCAGCAAACTCTGTAAGACACTGGTGACAGCAGCGGGCTTGGGACCCTAAACAGATGAAGAGGTGCCCTTGCTCACAGATAAATCCATCAAGTTCTCAGATGTTTCCTCAAATATTAATAATTCTGCTCAGGTAAGGAAATATTTACTCCTAAGACACACAGATAACCTGCACAGGCCTGGGACTCTGTTGGCTTCACCTCCTGCATCCCATTGCTGTCCCTGCTTTGTGCTGCCACGGCTCTGCAAACCCTCTCACTGAACTCACTCAAAAACTATCAGTGTCCTCCTGCTTGCAACTTGATGGGCCCAGCCTTGAGAGCCTCACCTCTTACATGAAGCCAGGACAAAGCATGCCATTCACTGGCAAAATATGCCATTCACAATGACCACAAATTGTCTCAGTGCTCTGCGGAGAAAAATAACCAACCGTGGTGTTTTCTGTGACTTTCTCACACCTGTTTTCCAGGGAAAGACAGAACACGAGGTCTTCTGTGGCTGAGATTTGCTCTAAGCTACAACAACATACGCTTGAGGTGCCAACTTCAGTCATGCTTCAAGGCAGTTGGACTTCTCAAGCTCCTCACTCGGGAAATCTGAACACTTCTGGGGATAGCTGTGAAATGTCAACTGATTTACACAGATCCAGCCTATGGAGTTCTTCACCAGTACACAGATAAACAGAACTTAGTGCAGCAAATACAGCAGATATCTAATTAGTAAATGGACATTCACATTGTTTGCAGCAGCATTTGGATGAAGCCTCTGATTTGTCTCTGAGTGGTCAAAGTTGGGATGGTGGACACATCCCCACATGGTGAAATATCAGTGTAAGAAAGGGGTATTCACAAGGCAAACACGTGGAATCAGACTGTGTACTATTTCCAAGGTCTTGTGCTGTTTCACTGGCACAAAGTCTGCTGTTTACTCTTTGCCTGTTGCTATGCATGAGAGCCAAGTATTTATTAGAACAAATTATTGGAAATGATGAGAAGCCAAAGAGGAAATCAATAAAGACTTGTTTATGTGAAAAAAATATGTTTATCTTCACTTCTGATAAATAGCCAGGCAGGCAAAACTGAAGGATCTCCATGTCAAATGAATATTCAAGGCAATGAAAAATAAATTTCAGTGAATTACAGCAGCTTCACCTAAAAAGATGGTAAATGTAGTTTCATTTTTTGTACCTACTGAGCATGAAAAAAGTTTATACACAATGAAATCATTAGATGAAACTTCAACATGTATGTGACTTAAGCTTATTAACATGCCTTTCTATCAATTTGCCCAATTTATGTAAAACAGATTAATCACTGTAGAGTTATTCCTTATTTGGAATATAAGAACTCAATTTCTAGTGATTTTTGTTACTTAATTTCTCATATTTGTCTTGTTAAAAGAGCTCAGTTTTTCTTAACTATGCCACACTGATGTCATGGCAAGTATCTATCAGGAGATCTCTTTTCCTCAGCTCTGTTTAGCCCACAAGATTAATAAAGGCAGACCACACAGACATCCTCCACCCATTTCATGGCACTCTAAAAAAGCCTCTTACCACAAGACATCCTCCAATTATCTCCTTTTCTTCCTCTCCTATTACTTTTTCTCCATTTTTGAGCATCATCCATCATCATCTTCATGGAGCTCTCAGCGCACACATGTTGGTTTTTTTCCTATGACTTTCCATGGTGGGGTCATTCTCCTCCTTTTATGGGTGGGGACAATGTAGCAGGTTGTGGTACTCAGTGTGAAGATGAGGAAAAGTGTAAGCAGCTGTGGTCCTCTTTCAGAATGTAGGAGAAAGAGGATGACAAACATTAAGATAAACAGAAAATTAGGAAATAAATCAATATGGACACTTGGGGAAATTAATGCTTTGGGTACCTTCAGGGCCCCAAAAGCATAAATTATATAATCAGTATTAATAGCTGTTATAACATCATTGTATGTTATTCATGTTGCTGCTGTGTTTTTCTTTACAAGATGGTAACCACAGAAACCAGAAATCATACCAAAAAAAAGCTATCAGTGACAGAAGCGTGGTGATATGGCACAGAATGATACTCTGAATTTGTTATCTGTGGCTGCCAGAAAGACAGAGAGAGACAGAGAGGGAGAGAGAACACCACAGTTGCTTTAAGATGTGTATTAACTCTCTGGATAGCAAAGCACAAAACCAGAAATACAGTGTCTGCAACAAACTCCTGAGGGGAAAAAAGCAAAGAATTACCTGATGCAACAGATTCAGAGGATGAAGCTGCATTTTTTCCCTCATAAATACAGGTCCATGATTTAGTGTTTCCTAAAGGCTGAATATAAGCTGTCAGCAGAGAGAAGAGATGGCTCTAGAGAATAATTAGCTCTATGTGGTGAGCAGGCTGCAAACTGCCTGCATAGTCACCATTCACTGCTTGTGGCAGAGGGTCAGGCACATAGACATGAGATTTATCCAAAACTAGCTCCTCTGATCCCACAGCTAGCTGGAAGATATGGAATAGTCTTGGATAAATCTCCTCGTGCACAAATACAAACTTTTGTGTCCACACATGCATAGAACTTCTGAGGTAAAGCCATACAGATGTTCACTGCTTTCCAGAAACAAAAAATGCAACCAGTGCTAGGATTGCACATTAAGTTTTGTTTTGAGAAATGTTGATCCTTTCACACTTCCTTAACTCTGGCAATCACCAACATGGGCTGTGTCTAAACAGCCTCAAAAGAGTGTTCATAACCTGGTTTACTTTCCATGCAGGGAGATTTACTTGCCTTCTGTAGCAGTGAATTTCACTTAAATGGATAATACAGAGAAGCACTTTGAACTCATGATTTAATAACTCCTTCATTCTCCCTTGTTCAGCGAGGCCTGAATTTCCCTGTATGTGTGGCATGGGAGGTGATTTCACACATAACTGAGGAAAAGAAACTCAAATCTTTTAAAGCCTAACCTAGCATCGAAAAGCCAGCCTTAGCCAAGAGCCTTCATACATAATTGTTACATTTATTCTAGGTTGATGATTTTTTTTTATGTGTTTTTCTTTTTTCTTTTTTTTTTTTAATGAAATATAGCTATATTTTCAGTATGCAAGTGTCTCCACCTAACCAAACCTCACTTATTTTCAATTTTCCTAAGTTTGCATTTTAATCCTCACCCTGTAGCATTCCACCTCATTTCAGGGATGATCTTACCTGATTTCTTTATTGCCTCTCTCCAGACACAGTAGTTATCAACTCTGAGAAGTCAAGAGGGCAGCTCCTCACAGAACCCATAAGAATGAGCAATTAAAACAATTGGGATTTTTTTTTCCCCTTTCACGCTTACTCCGTGCTTTATATATGGATATTCTGAATTACATGGAAATACACTACTAACACTGGCTTTCCAGAATGCTGGAAACTCATGGATTTTGCTGGAATATGTTCAGTAGTGAGGTCATTAAACATCCCTGCAGTGCACAGATTTGCTCAACCACCGGCCTCAGACACTTGAGAACCTCTAGAACAGAAGCAGGCACTGAGATCTGTTAAAATAATGCCACTTCAAGCAAAAATAGTTGCTTCAGTTACCAGGTTGGAGAAGTCACCAGCAATTCACTTTAAAAGGATTAGAATTCTATTAAGACCCTTCACTGGTTTGGCCTGGACAGATTGAAAACAAAGCCAGGAGAGGGGTTACCTTTTGCACCTGGGAGGACATTGCTGACTGCAACAGTAACTCACAAGAGAAGAAACAATCCCACCCAGGTCGGTTTCATGAAAAACTTTTATTAAAGGAACATTTGGAAATAACCCATTTTAGGAATTATAAAGTCCTAAATAAATTAATTCCTAAGTCTTTAATACGATATAAACTTCTATTTAACGGAACAAGCTGTATTACATATCTATACAGATAACCTTTTTTTTTTTTTTTTCAAACAAGAGCTACAATTAAAACTAACCACAAAAATGTCCAGAGAAATGGTTTCATATTAAACTATTCCAGGAGAAATGGACCTAACACTTTTTTTTCAAACAAGAGCTACAATAAAACTAACTACAAAATGTCCAGGGAAATAGTTTCAAACTGTTGCAGGAGAAATGGACCTAACACTTATTTTTCAAACAAGAGCTACAATTAAATCTAAATACAGAAATGTCCAGAGAAATGGTTTCATATTAAACTGTTGCAGGAGAAATGGACCTAACACTTATTTTTCAAACAAGAGCTACAATTAAAACTAAATACAAAAATGTCCAGAGAAATGGTTTCATATTAAACTGCTCCAGGAGAAATGGACCTAACACTTTTTTTTCAAACAAGAGCTACAATAAAACTAACTACAAAAATGTCCAGGGAAATGGTTTCAAAGTGTTGCAGGAGAAATGGACCTAACACTTATTTTTCAAACAAGAGCTACAATTAAAACTAAGTACAAAAATGTCCAGAGAAATGGTTTCATATTAAACTGCTCCAGGAGAAGTGGACCTAAGATTTATTATACTTATATATTACTTATATATATTATATATATTACTAATACATTACTTTTATATATATTATTATATATTATATATTATATATATTACTACTCTATTATTTTATATTAATATATTATATATTACTACTGTATTACTTTATATTAATTAAAATCATTAAATATTTTTAAAATATTAAATGTATATTAAGGATTTTAGCTATATATTACTTATATTACTAACATGCACTACTACAATATGACATTATTATTATATAATACATATCATCAAGAGTGATCCACATGGTAGATTGCAGCTGGTTCCATATTTTAACATTGAGCAGTCACAGCATTGCAAACTCATCACAAAATTCCTTATTTCAAAGTTTCAGTTTAATTTGGGAATCCAGATGAGCTCTTTTCCTTGGACGTGCCCTCTCCTCATCATCATCATCAGGAAAACTAAATATTTCAGACAGTCCTTTCTGGGGGTTGGAAAAAAAGAGGAAAAAAAAGAGAAAAAAAAGGAAATTTATCACATTAAAAAAAAAATACAAATTAACAACTGTAGTACACAACCCCCAGCCAACCTGTGCAGGACACATAAACCTGCCAGTAGAGAGTTTCTTAGCTATGCCTTTCGCATTCTAAGACCCTTTTGTCTGGAGAGTGCTTTTGAACCTCAACTGGAGCTTACTTGTTCATCTGATCTGACCACAGAATTGTTTCAAAATCACTTTGTAAACTCCCAGCTGCAAATGCACAGATCCAACGTGCAGTTCTGGAGAAGAGGCAAGATTAACCTATGCCCAACAGGTTGCCAACAGCCTCCAGCCCCACCTAAGCCTTCCTTTAACCTTCCCCCAGATTAGTCAGGGTTTCCCTAGGCAGGGATTGGGCTGAGTTTATCCCTAACTCAGATACCCTGCCCACAGGTCTTTGCTGACTGTGCCATGTTATACCCGCCAAAGCACCACAAGGCTGCTGTGCTGTCCTACACAAGGGCAGCAGCTTCCACACGACTTCTCCTACCTTGACAGGTGACATCACTCTGGTCAGGGGCATGGATGTTGTAGTGGAGACACTGGAGCTTTGTGTCGGAGCTGCCTCCTCTTCAACTTTACTGTCCATTGGTTCTTCTTCCACCTCAGAGACTGTTTCATCTCTGACAAATGCCTTGCCAGGCAACACAGAGGGGACACTGCAAGAGACACAGGACAAGTCATTTGAGCTTTGTCTGATCTTTCAGACTCAGCCAGGGTCACAAATGGCTTCCACAGCTTTTGAGGGAATTTTATGAATGGAGTTTTCTGAAAGGAGCTCTTAATCTAGGGATCCATAGCAGCTCTAGTACATGAGGTCACAAGAAAAAGCAGATGAGGGTTTGGTGTAATCCAAGAGGGTTTCCAGCAAGAATGAAACCCACCCCAATCCCAGCCACCTTCTGCTGCTGCCCCCTGGAAAAAAAACCAAACAACCAGCAGTCTTGTGCAATGGCAGTCACTGGCAGTCTCAAATAACAGAATTTGGGCCATACCTGTTCAGTGTCTGGCTTTGAGAGCTCTTTTCTTGCTTGTATTTTGCCTTCAGTCTCTGGAATGTGCTAACATATTGGATAGAGTCCAACTTATCAGAGAAGTTCTCAACTAGATGTTCAATAAGGGACTGGATGCCTTCCTGCAGAAGAGAAAAACAGGGTTGCAGTCTCCTATGTCCACATTCAGAAGATGAGAAAGTTTTTGAGCTTCATTTGGAAAGTAACTAAGCCCTTCTCCAGAGCCAAAACATCCTTCTCAAGAACAAATGGGAAACAATCAGATTTATCCTTAAGAAAAAAGCTGAGATCTAGAAAGAATTATTTAACTTCCCTTAGAAACAGAGAAGAGACTCAGCAGTGTCCCAGTTCTACTTGGGACCCTTCCAGCAAACCTGGAGGTTTCCTATCTGGGAGAGCTGCCTTTTACCTCTCAACCTGAGAGGCCAAGGCTGTGTCAGTGCTGAGGCTGCTGCTGAACTTACCACTAGGATGAATTCAAACAGCTCCAGCAAGGCAGAGTTAAACAAGTTGTACCTAGTCCCATTGTCCAGCAGAGCATTCACAACCGGCTCAAAGAGGTTACATTGGATGATGTAACGGTTGTAAACGTCATTTTTCATGGCAATCATCCTCCTCATAAACCGAAGAGCAGCTGTGTGAAAAGACACATTCAAGCATTTAATAACTCCATGCCAGGGCTCCAATCTGCTTCTTGGGGAACAACTGAAAATCCTGGTGTTATCCCAAGAGGAAGATGCACACTCAAAGCAAGAGCATTAAGAAGCACTTGAGGACAAATGCGGACCCAGCATTTGCTGACAGGTCTCTTTTCTTTCCTTCTTGGACTTTGCTGGGTATTTGAATGTCATGAGGGACCACTGCTCTCTTTCTTAATTCCATGCACTTCAGCATGTGTGAAGTTCAACTGTTCACTCCCTCCTCTGCTTTTCTCTGCTTCTGTTCCAGAACCAATCCCAATTATCCTGCTTAACCAGGCTTTAATTATCCTGCTTCACACAATTTCATTCCCTCTCCACAGGGAGCACCAGATTCAGGACCTTCTTCAAGAAGGGAAAGATCTCCATGGAGATTAGTCAAGACATCTGATCACAAAGGATCCTCACTGGCAGGAAGACTTGAAAGGACCTCTGAGGACTTCAAAAGAGACCACAATCCTCCTCCCACCACAAACTGCACTGGTCTATGCTCACGGACAGCTACTACCTTGCTTTCCAAACTACTTAGTGGTAGCCAGGAAAAGACAGGAAATCAACAGGAATTCTGAGCTCAAGTGTAGACACTGATACTGGTGCACCTTGCAAAGAGGACACACAAAGCCCTCCAGAAGGAAACCACAACAACTCTGTACTCACCCAAGGCCAGAAATTTGTGCTTGGATTTCAACAATACCAGGACTCTTCTTAGCAGATCTTTGCTTGTAACATACTTCTTCATGTGATGTCTGTGCCGTTGCATACAAAAAGATAGCACCTCCAAAACTAAAGCAAGGATTTCTGCTCTTTGATAATCTACAAGAAAAAGGAATAATATTCAGTTATACCAAAGAAAGAAAGAATGTTCTGTCATGCACAGTGAGCTCACCAGTTATTACAGTTTCTG